CCCTTGAGATTTTTTTCTTTTTTATGAAAAACAAATCTATTTAAATGTATTTTTTTCAGGTGCCTACATCTCAGTGTAGTGCTCCATGTCCCCCTGGCAGCAGACAGGCCATACAACCAGGAGAGCCTCGCTGTTGCTTTGATTGTTTGCCTTGTGCAGATGGAGAGATCAGCAATCAGACTGGTAGCCAATACATATTTTTTTATTCATACACAGTTTTATCTTTATAAAAAATATGTGTGTAACAGTGCACATAATTATGGTTTATCTCATGCAGTACTTCAGTTTCAATTATTGGTTATGTATGTTCTGGTGTATTAGAGAGTTTATCTTTAAGCATTATTTTATTTTGTAAACCTTTGTACCATCGACTGTTGCAGCAAAATTTTGTGGTTTTTGACCTTTGTAGTTTTTTTTTTTATACTTAGCATTACTTTGTCCCTGTAGGTTCCACTGAGTGCATCAAATGTCCAGAGTTTTACTGGTCAGACAAAGACAAGGTGAAATGTATTGCTGGAGTTGAAGACTTCTTGTCTTTTAATGAGACCATGGGCATCATCTTAGTTGCCCTCACTCTGCTGGGTGTCATCCTGACGATAATCATCACTGTTATCTTTCATCATTTCCGGACCACTCCCATTGTCAAGGCCAACAACTCAGAAATCAGTTTCTTGCTTCTTCTGTCAATCAAGTTATGTTTCCTGTGTTCCCTGGTGTTCATCGGCCAACCATCTGTGTGGACATGTGTGTTACGCCAGGCAGCGTTTGGTATCAGCTTTGTCATCTGCCTGTCCTGCCTCTTAGTCAAGACTGTTGTTGTTCTATTGGCTTTTCGGGCCAATGTACCTGGTCCCAAGGGTCTGTTTGGTCCATCTCAGCAGAGGAGTATGATCTTCTGCACAACAGCTCCTCAGGTGGAAGAGATATGAATTTAAAACTCTAACTGTATTTTCACACAATTTCTGAGTAATATGTATCTTGAATTTTTAAAATACATTTTTTTCTCAGATTTGTCTCTGTACAGGCTGGCTGTTGGGGGCTCCACCTTTCCCAATCAAGAATTCAACATATCAGGCCTTAAATGGAAAAGTAAGAGCAATACATCCCAGTAGCATTATTTTTTATCAAAGACAGAAATATACAGTAATTTTGCACGTAAAGACTTTAACATTTGTCATTTCTAGGGAGAGTATGCATACTAAACATCAGTCTGGCTTTTTTAGATTGTTGTGGAGTGTAAGGAGCCGTGGCCTCCTGGATTTTATCTTGTTCTTGGTTACATCGGCCTGCTTGCCTTTGTCTGCCTCCTTCTGGCGTTCCTTGGAAGGAAGCTACCAGATACTTTCAACGAGGCAAAATTTATCACTTTCAGCATGTTGATCTTTGTTGCTGTGTGGATCTCTTTTATTCCAGCTTATGTTAGCTCTCCTGGGAAATTCTCAGTAGCTGTGGAAATATTTGCAATTTTAGCTTCTAGTTTTGGTCTCCTTTTGTGTATTTTTGTGCCCAAATGTTATATCATTTTGTTGCACCCTGAGAGAAATGTTAAAAAAGGCATGACAAGAAAAATTCAACAGATGAACTTCCCATCTGTTAGTGTTTTCTTTGCACATCAGACAAACACAAATGTATATTCCTGATTTTATTTGTTTGTTGTGTTTATTGTAAAATTTAAAAAATAAATACGTTGAAAATATCTAAATGTTTGTTTTCTTTATTTGCTGAAAAAACAAAAAAATTCAAAATTATAATTGTTTCTGGTGTAACCCTCAATGTTTACTAGAC